TTTTTTTTATGATGGAATCATGGAAACACATGCACATCACCATACAGGCATCAACTTGAATTATTTAGTTTTGTTGATGTAAAAAGCAGTGGTAATCAAATTTTCTAAATGGCATGGTCCTTTAACTTCTTGTGAGTGATTACAATTGACTACATCCGACTTCTCTGAGCCAATTTAAATGGGGCCATTTGGTAAACTATGCAGATTCATCCACAAGCACTACAGCAGAAAGTCCAAGGAGCTTGGCAAAGACCTGAGAAAGCAAATTAGTGACTTGAGCATGTCCCATCATAGACAAATAAGAGCTGTATGAGTCATTAGAAACTCAAGACAGCAATGATATACAAGGTCTTTACAAGTGTATGTAAACTTTTGTCAACGACTGTATAAAATTGCAGTTTATAATTTCACTTCATTTTGTATTAAAAGAAAAAAAATATTTACCATTAAAATTGCTCACAACATATAAGAGCAACCCTTGTATATCCTCGGAAGGACTTCATTTCCCATGAGTCCTTTGTGCATACATGCGTCGTCACCGACGAAACCATGGAAACAGATCAGCTGCGGTCGGTATCGCTCAGCTCGGCTCTCTGCTGCCAGTTGGGCTCGTTCGGCTGAGGTTTAGTGTAGGCGGGACGTCAATGTCAGCTCCACTGTAGCCTTTTTACAAAATATGAAAATTATATGAGTGCCTGTCGTAACATATAACCACGACAGGTCGCTGTCATCGTCGGATTTCATGTTTGGACATTAGCCGGCTAGTTAGCTAGGTTAACTTTGCTAAGTAACGTTTGTTTTCTTCGAGCAGCACGGTGGCATTTTAGATTCACAGAGAACTTACCAGAGGATGCTGGAGTCAATCAAAGTAACAGGTAACGTTATATTTATCTTACAACATATCAGAAACATTTGTGCAATATCCCTTTAGAAGTAACGGCAACTTCTTTATTATTATTATTGTTGTAACTAGCGGTAGTTAAAGATTAAGGCTGTCACATTAGCTTATTATTAATTAGAAAACCCTAACTAAAACACGAAGAAATGTTAGATATTTTCACACAGCATGAATGTATTATTTATTCTCCATTGATATTGCATTACACACCCTACACTGTGTTGTACAGCGCTCCTGTATCCCACGCATTTGTGCCTGAACAGCAGCCTGACAGGCGGATGGATGAGCTCACTCATTGCTGAACCTTCATGCTATGTTGTAACATCAGAGCTTTCATATTTTTTGAATAAGGGTGATGGATAAATTGGAAATTTGTGCATTTGATTCATTTTGTTCTGCATAGGAGTGTATTTAACTTTATATTTGAAAATGTCACAAGTTAACTTCGCACAACTTTGTTCAAAATTCACTAAATGGATGTTTTGGTTGACTCCTTGGTTGATTCCTGTATTTCCTACAGTATGATGTGATTGTTGCCTGTCATGTCAGAGGAAACTGAATGATGAGCTGATGTGTTAGGTAATAGTATTTGACTTGGTAGCTGAGCAAGCCATTGAAGCTCCAATTTGTACTATTTTTCCTTCCACTCATTACTGTGCAGCTGAGCTCATTAGTTGGTGCTGTCCAGTTTGTGGCTGTGTGAATTCCGCCTCAGTGCTCCTGTCTGAACGGAAAGCTTTCTCTGACTGGGATGATGGCCAGGTCACCTTAGTGGAAATCGCAGAGCCCTGCACTCTATACTGGCAGTCTCTGGAGACATGAAGAGAATAATTTTCACTGTGAAAGCAGCCTACTGACTCATGAAACTCAGTGGTTCATAGCCACAGACTGCTGACATAATAGCAGTCCAATGCGAGTCCAATTAGGTGCATTGAGTCAGATCCCAGATCCCTATGATTGCAAAAAAAAACAACTTGGAAGTGGCAAAAGACTGTTATAATGCCTAGAGTGTTGTGTGCAGGTTTGCTGTAATCACAGTGTTTGCGAGTTAATTTTATCTAACCTTGACAAGAAGATTAGTCTATCTGGTTACCTATTAAAAGATTTGCACGTGAAGATGATTCTAAAGAAAGCATCCAACACATTCAGTGTCTTCTCTTCTTTCAGAGAGACTCCATTGGCCTGAAGAAGAAATGTCTAAGAAGTACATCTTAAACTATGGTGGCAAGGCAGTGAGTCCAAGCCAAGTGTACCTGGAAAAGGTTTCCTCCACTGTCCTCAAAGACCTCTTAAGCGCTGGCTCTAACAGCTATAATGTCCTGCTGCAGGCTGAGGAAGAGGAGAAGAAGAGCCAAAAGCAGTCCCCATACAAGAGGCCAAAGACAGCAGTGAAATGTGGCATCACATTTAGCAAACGAAACCGTCCAGGCATGGCTCCTAGAAAGGCACGTGCTCCAGAAAGTGGCAGTAAACCTGCCCAGACAATTCGTGTCCTCTCATGTAGCCACTCCAGTCTCCTTAAACCAGCGCGGAACATCGCAGTCGTGAGCAACACGATGGGCCAAACCCCTCGTGCAGCTCTGCAGCTCAGGAAGGCGTGTATCCCTAACTCGCCTCGCACCAAACTTCCCTCTTTGCACAAAGCGACAATCACACGGGAGGTGGAAAATGCCAAGAAGCTCTGCATCCTTACAGCCATCAAACCATCCAACGTTGAGAAAGAGAAGGCCAAGTTTTTTAAGTCTGACTTCAGCTACAACCCACAGTTTGAGTACAGCAACCCTGTTTCTCCGCTTGTCCTGGCACG